AAACAAAGCAAGCTCTGGGACAGAGCGTGCCACCAAGCCCCCCCCACGATGTGCATCAAAGCACTGCGCTGGTTTGCACGGCAAGCGCAAATACCAAACCTAAATGCGGCCATGTTCCGGCCATTAATCTCAGCATATCTCGTCAGAGATGGCCCCCGGGACAGACGAGAAGCAATGCCATTGCCCATGGCCTGCGTCGTTGTGTGGGAGCAATGCATCTGGCGCAAACTGGGCCCGACGAGCATGCGCTTCTGGCTCGGCGCCGCACTGCTCTGCGTGCACGCATCGCTCCGCTGGGGCGACGCGCAGCGAATTGATTGGTCTTCTCTGGACCTCACCAGCACTGCGCTGCGCGGCACCTGCTATGCAACCAAAACCACCAGTGACGGCCAGCCATGGGCCGTCCACTGGCGGGGCTTCACCGGCCGAGACCCCAGCACGTCCTGGGTGGTGCATTGGTTGCATATCATGCATAGCTACCTGGCATCGCACCCGCATAATCGTCCAGACTTCATGTTTATTCAATGCAATCTGGACGGCCCCTTGCCTGCCTCAGCAACGCCCAGCAGCTACCACCACAGCCTGCAATGCCTGCGCTGGGCTTGCACGGCACCTTGGTTATGCGCACCGCCCCTCCTTACCAGCACAGAAGCCCTCAGCCTTGCACTGCACAGCCTAAAATCCTGCCTCCTGGCAGCTGCGGCACAACTCGAGCTGCGTAAGGAGCACCGACTGCAACAAGGACATCACAGGGACAGCGCAGCACTGTATAGCCGAGATGATACCATAGCCAGCCTGCGTATACAACGCCAAATACGCACGGCTTTGTGGGAACACTGGCGACCGCAAAGGTCGCAAGCCAGAGGAGGCCAATCACCAGTCCCCGAGCCGCCCTTCTATATACACACCGGCGAGTGCCAGCCCTGCCTCACACAGTCAGATCTGCAAGACCCACTCCTGGCATGCTTCATTTCACGACACGAAAGACTGCAGCACACTCCGCCTGAATCTCCACGCACAGATATCGACGCCAGCCCTGAACCTCTCAGCGATAATAGCATGCTAGCAGCACTTGCGGACGACCCCGAAGCAGCAGAAGTTGAACGCGCTGCACTGCATCTTCAGCTTGAGTCCAGCTCCGAACTGGAGGGCCCAGCCTCCCCCGTTGCCTCGCTCCCATCCTCTGCTGAAAGCGAAGATTCTGGGGAACTTCAGGGCACTGGAGTTCGCAACGGAGGCTGGGCCTGTACCCACTGCATCACCCCAGCCAGCTGGCAAGCGTATAAGGAGGCCCCGCCAGAAGACCGCAGCGTCTTCATCCTCAAAGCAGCCTGTGGTGTGCAACTGCGCCGTTGCGCCTTCCTCACGCCCTTGTCAGCAGCCCCAACCCTTTGCGGCAGAGCCGCCTGCAAAGCCGCGAGATCAACGGCAAATGCCCGGCCCTAAGCCGACTTGCAAGGTCCTAGCACTGCAGTTATGCCACAACCACCCACGAATTCATCCGCAGCCATTTGTACCTGGCTCAATTCCACCAGCCTACGCCCTCACGCTTCGCCATGGATGTCGACTCCAAACAAGACTTCAACCAACTCATGCAGGATTCTAACCTGCCCGAGGACCTTTGCACTGCACTGCGCAACTCTGGATACCAAACCATTGCCGACTTTGCCTTCAGCGTGCCGCAACAGCACTATCTAGACGCATGGCTACACGCCCAACCCAAAGAACTTTGGGAAGAGCTGCAAGTCCAAGACATTGCGTACAGCCCTGTTGTTGGCCGCCTACGCCGCTTCCTTGACAGATGCCATACGCACGCCTCCGGCACCGCGCCAGCCCCAGCACGGGGAGAGCCCGGCCCATCTGCCAGCACACGCGCCGCTCCCATCGCAGAGAACGTTTGGGCCGAACATGCACCGCCTCGCCTAACACCGGCAGCAGTCCAAAGCATGAAAGATACCTTCACGGCAAACTATCCAGGAGAAATCCTCGATAGCAACGCAATGCCTAGCATACGACTGCTCAGCATCGTGTACCAATGGTTCCGACCAGGCAACGCACCGCAATGGGTGCCATGGCAGCTCCGCATGTCCGAGCGCCAAGAGATGCGGCGTGATCGCAGTGTTGCCCGGAAGGCTAAAGTGGGGGTTTCTTAGTTTCTCTCCGCACTGCATCGCATTCGACTTCCGAGCAACACATGCGAAAAAAGAGTGAGCTACCGCAGGGTTCGAACTCGTAGTTAACTGCACAAGGGATGGAGCCTGAACGTTGCGTGTATAATTGTGGTTTTGGTTTACACGCATGTTTTGAGCCATCTTCTTGTAGCTGATACATTGCACTGCAACTTCAGGCTCCAGGACGTGCAGACGGCAGGAACAGCAAGCATTTGAAATCACCCGCCCTCCTCTCCCTAGTTTTTTCTTACAGGACCGCAGTTCCTAGGAGTCTCGCCTGACTCGAGGCCGCAAGACCTCTGCGACTCAACCTTCTTAAACCAGGAGGTCCCGTATGTCTCACCGGGGGTTTCTTAGTTTCTCTCCGCACTGCATCGCATTCGACTTCCGAGCAACACATGCGAAAAAAGAGTGAGCTACCGCAGGGTTCGAACTCGTAGTTAACTGCACAAGGGATGGAGCCTGAACCGAAGCATTCAATGCTGCATTTGCAAGTTCTGGCTTTAGATGCAAGACTCTGATCAAAAAGCGATGTTTTCAAGACTGTTGCAGAGCACGCAAGTTAATGCAAATTTCAATGTTTTCATACACAGAGTTTGTTCCTGCTTGGCTTGGCAAAACAAATGACGGAAATTCAAATTTTGCAATTTTCAGGTTCTAGATCTGTTTTTTTTTTCTCAGCTGATCGTTCTCGCATGGAGAATTCGAACCTCCAAAAAGGCATTTTTTTGGGCGATTCTCACTGCAACACTTTTTTGACCTATGGGCAAAATTTGTTTGAGTCTGCAGCGTTGCTGCTTCATCTCTATGTTTTCAGCGTAGAAGTGCAGGAATTTCGATGCGATTCACTCTGGCTGTGAGTTACTCAAGAGAGAGTTGGAGGTTCCATTTCGGTCAAGGAAGTTGACGCCACATAGAATCTTAGTCTTGCCATGCTGGTCATTGCAGCAGTTTGGAAACAGTGGTTTTTGTGCCTGGAGGTTTTAGCTGCTTTCGGGGCTACAGGTGTTCTCGTGACCGAGCGAGTAGGCGGTATTGAGGGCAGCAGTTGAACCGCTCTAGTTTCAGCATCATTGTCGTCAGAGTTCTTGCATTTGATGCCTTGTGTTGGAAGGCCGGGTATGTTGTTGAAGCAATGCCCGGGGAGATGTACCGCAAGATGCGATGATGCTTCTTACATGTTACATTGTGTTGCATCACTGTCCACTGCTATTTTCCATTGTTCACTCGAGCTCAGGCTTTGCTGTCGTCTTCTCTGAGCACTTTCGACCCGAAACCCCATAACCTGCTTACTTGAGTTTCAGCGTTGAAAGCACCGCGGTACTGTGCGTCATACACTGTGTTGCGAGAAACGGTTTGCAGGAGCCGCGTCCCAGTATTGTGTTTGGTTGAGCTGTTGATAGTCGATCTGGCAAAAAAGGGATTTCGTGAGTGGGACCAATAAGGAAGGGATAATGTTGAGTGTTTTTGGGTGTGAGGATATGAGGACCTTAACCTGGTGCGCAGTGTCAGTACCGTGGGCGCGCTCACAAGTGGTCCTTAGGGGTGGTGGTTTCTTTCCTCAATGGCAGAGGGCAAGAAGAAGGAAGGTGGTCCGGAGTTATCCACTCAATGAGGTGGAGTCACCACCTCGGCTGCTGCCAATGTGTAGTTTTTGGCCGAAAACATCTCCAGTGGACATGGCTGGGACAGGGGGAGTGCGGAGATGTAGAAGAAGTGTTTGAAGGGACGTGAAACACGTCACCAATGTTGCTTTGGCTGAAGGATGGCCGGAAGTGCTTTCCATGATGAGGGTTGGGGATTGGGGGTGTTGGTACTAGGACCCTTGTTTGGGTTGTTGGTTTAGGCCTGGTAGTCCCGCACTGGACCCCCTCGTCCTGCTTGGTACCCTTCAGGGTAAAAAGGGTTGAACTTCGCAATAAGGGGGTTAGGGTGTAGGGTTTAGGGTTGAGGGTTGAAGCAACGAAGGTGCATTTTCGTCTAGTACGGGCAGGAATGCTGCTTCCCAAAGCGCGTTGAGGGGACGGACTCAACACGCAGGGTAGAGGACTTTAGAGGACCTGGGGCATACGCACCTGCAATCAAACCTTGTGGCTTTTTGTGCACCTTGCTTGTGTCCACTCCACATGCATTTTGACGAATTTTGATTGCCCGAGCGCCAGGTCCCAAAGCCCTCGTCCTCAAATCGCAATGCCGAGATCCTAAGTTCCAACAGTCTGGGTTTAGGGTCTAGGGTTTAGGGTTCAGGGTTATCGGGGGTTCCCCCCCAAAAAGAAAGGCTGCAATTTCTATTTTCAGCAACCCCCCACATGAAGGCACATCCAGCATCCTTCATGCATGTGTGGGCCCTGGCTCGAAATCTTGATCCAGTAGCTCAAACCTTCGGCTATCAAGTTACTTGAAAAGGACGCATGTTTGCACTTTGAAGTACTGAATGCCGTGAAGCCTCGCAGATTGTAGAAGCCCAGAAGACCCAAAAACACGCAATGTAAAATTATGTATATAGATATATACATATATTACAAATGATAGTATTCCATTTCATCAGTCGTATATACTATATACATAGATAAATATGTACATATGTACATATGTACATATGTACATATGTACATATATACTATATACATAAATACATAGGCATAGGTATATATATATATATGTACATATGTACATATGTACATATGTACATATGTACATATGTACATATGTACATATGTACATATGTACATATGTACATATGTACATATGTACATATGTACATATATGTTTATACATATACATACATGTTCGTGGCTCAGATTGAGCTCCGTGCAGTTCGGCTGAGTGATGTTTCATGTCTGGCGGGCTTCGGGAAAAGAACTGGCTGCTGTACCAGAGGAAGAAGTTCGCGAGGTACGAAGCTTGAAACAGAGGTTGCAGAAGCTTTGCGGTGTCTCGCGCTTCTGCCAGAGGCTCCTGCATGATGGTCAGGAGCTTGACGATGGAGTTGTGCTGAAGCCGCCCATGGACATTCAGCTTGTCGTGCTCCCCTTCGCCGATACCTCATGGCTGCAAGCACTGAGGCTCTTAGAGGAGGCTGCATCGGGCGATGTGCTGGCGCTCGAGGCGCTTCTGCAGCGACCTCAGGACCCAAACTTCGCGATGGGGAAAGGGGCCCTCTGCGCGCCTGCTGAAAGCGGCTACGTGGAGGTTGTCCGCATGTTGCTGGAGGCGGGAGCCGACCCAGATGCGCCTGGCGAGCGTGGCGAAAGCCCCCTTTGGGCAGCATCCGCGCAAGGCCACGTGGAAATCGTGCGTTTGTTGTTGGAGGCCGGGGCAGACAAGGATGCGCCAGGCCTCGATTGCCGAACCTCGTTGTGGATGGCAACTTCAGAAGGTCACGTGGAAATTGTCAGGCTGCTGTGCGCAGCTGGTGCTGACAAGGATGCTGCTGCCAACTGCGGTAAGACGCCGTTGATGGTCGCATGTTGGAATGGTCATGTGCAGATTGTCAGCTTGTTGTGTGACACTGGTGTTGACTGCAACACATTGGACAAGTCTGGGAGAAGTCCGCTCTGGGTAGCATGTCTGACGGGCAATGTGGAGATTGCCAGCTTGCTTATGGAGGCCGGAGCAGACAAGGATGTCCCAGGGACGGATGGCCAGAGCCCGCTCTTGCTGTCCTGTATCCAGGGCCATGAGGAACTCACAAGCCTGCTCCTGAAGGCAAGGGCGGACTTTGAAGCTCCTGAGAAGGACGGCCGCAGCCCGCTGCTGGTCGCTGCCCTGCAGGGCCACGCGGGAATCGTGCGCCTGCTGTTGGGGGCCCGTGCCAATCATACCCGAAGCTGCGGTGGCCAAACTCCGCTCCAGGCCGCGTCAAGCCGAAGTTACAGTGAAGTGGTGCACGTGTTGGAAGCTGCGAAGGCAAAGAGCAAGCCAAGATCGCCGGCCCTGGTGGCATCGACGAGCGCGCGCAGGTAGAGATGTTCCCTTCGCCCTTGCGGTGTCCTCACGTCATGTTCCGAGCAAGTTCAAACACGCTCGATGCGCCGCGGGACCTGACAGACAGTGGCCAATGACATCCTGTGGCGCATCTTCGTGCATTTCCGTGTTTAGCCGGTCGAGCACATCAGGAGGCAGAAGAACCACAACCTTGCAACCGCAAATCGCGTGCATTCCTGCCCCGACTCCGGAGGAGCAGCAGAAAAGGACCGAAACAAGCAGGGTCTGCGGAGTAGGGGAACAGGGTCCCAAAGCGCTTCTTCACCCGTATGCCCGAATCCCAAGCTCGGATCTGCGAGGATCTAGTTACACGCTGCTTCCTGTGAGCAACTCTCATCCTTTGCAGCCAAAGGCAGCGACTCAGACGAAAAAGGGCTAAGAGAGGATAGCGAAGGTAAACTCCGATCTCGAAACCGTACAAGGAGACTGAGACATGCCAACCAGTGATCAAAACCAGCAAAAATGATACGACAAGTCTGAGGTGGGCAAAGCGAGATCAGGGAACACACGCGACACAACGAACCAAGTTGAAGAGGTCCTTGTTTTCAGTTTTGTTCGAGTCATCGCATTTCAGGTTCATGTGTTCTTTCCATCTTTTGGCAAAAATCTTATGTTGGCTCCGGTGTTCCTGCTCACTAGAAGTACATGGGGTAAGCCCGTTGATCTTGAATGGGTTTTGAATGAGTTTGTGATTTCCCTGGTGATCTCTTGAGTTGACAGTTAGCCAGCGACTTCGTTCACGTCGGGGCGATGACCTGGGCTGAAGAAGTCTTCACATAGAGCCTCAGTCCAAAAAGAACATAACGCAACATAATTTAGGAATTTCACAGACGGGGGCATTGTCGCATTGCCCTTCTGAACAGCGTTCCAGGCAGGTCACCTCCCAACTAGTGTATCTGGACTGGTGTACTTGCAACGGAGATTGGTGCTCACGTGAGCCGTCAGCCTCATTCTCCCACCATGACCATGTTCGTTTCATGGCTTGCGGAGCCCTCTCTTGCCGATTTTCAGCACGCCGTACCTTGCATGATTCTTTCTGGGAGTGGACAGCTGTCTGCGCACTAGGTGCCGGCGCGGCGCGACGGATAACTTTCGCGATGAGATGCCCAAGCAGTTGCTGTGCAAGATGCTTATCATTGTTGCACGCGTCATGTGCTATTCTAGCCATCGGCTCGCTCAATCATGTGTTCATGTTGCTCTATGTAACGCAGTCCAAGCTTGCAGTGCAGGGTCATCGTGGACATTCAAAGACGCTTCCCCAGGGCCTTAGAACTTCATAGGGCCGGTTCCATGCTGCCAGCAGAGACTTCGAAGCAGCTGAACAAGTTGACTCAGGAGACCTTCCAGAACTCATATTCTGCACTAAGCAAGTTGTTTTCTTCACGCATCACTTTGGATGAAGAGGGCACGCTCCCACGAGAGTTTGGGGACGAAGTCAGCCAACTTGAGAATGATTGGATATCGGAAGAAACGCAACAGTGGAAATCAATCCTGCCAATTGCCATCCTGCGAGAAAAGTCGTCTGAGAAGGCAAGAGAGGCCTTTTGCTTCAAGTTCAACACCGAGCAAAGATGCCAAAAACCAAATTGCAAGGTGCCTCACACGTGCTTCCAATGCATGACGGACTTTGAGGATCAGACGTATCATGGTCGGGAGCACTGTGCCCTGAGGGAAGACAGGAAGCAGTTTCGCCAGGACTTTAAGGAAAAGGTTGACCCGCTGGACTTTGCAGGAGATTTACGTCAAAAGATAAAGCTCAGTGGCCGTGGCCCTCGCAACAAAACGACGACTCTGCTCTCGTATCTGGTTTTTCTCTCCGGCGGAGCAGCAGCTTGGCAATGCAAGTCACCCTTTAGGGTTTAGGGTTTTGGGGTTTGGGTTTAGGGTTGGAACGAATTTTTTGGTTGTGTGCGGCAAAGATGATGAGAATGCTTGTCTCTTGTGCGCGTCGTGTCGGTTGCTTCGATGCAGCCTGCGTTTATGGTTTAGGGTTTAGGGTTTAGGGTTAGGAGCCCTTGCCATTCAAGGTACTATCAGTGAGCGAAGGATCGTTTGGAAGTGGTTTGTTTTTGCCTTGCCCATAGAGGTTGATCATTCAACGGGAGACCCCCAACAGTTCGCGGACGAAACTTGTGAGGATGCACAGGAAGTGAGCCGCAAGCAATTGACGCCCAGAGAGTTCAAAATTGATGTTTTCGAGTTCGAAGCAGTCGGGCCCGGAGTTCATGCGGACCGAGGTTCGGCCCGCTGACGTCCGATAACCACGTATGCCATCATATGCAGGCATGCCTCAGCCTGTATGCGCATGCAGCCCTGCACCGCTCCACTCCAAGTCGCGCAATCATTGGGGGGGGGGGGCGGGCTCAAGGGGGGTGGGGGCCTCGTTGCCGGTACCTATGAATGCTGGATCGAATTAGTATGATGCCTGTTTCGGCCTGCTAGGTTAGAGTTATGAAGTCTCACTGACACATGCAAGTCGTATTCGGCGGTGGCGTCGTGTTCAGGCTGTGGGGGCTGTGTCACCATGTCCATTGCGTCCAACAAGTTTTCGAGTCCCTATTCATGTCTTTGGACACGTGGCTTGTCGAGCATGTTGTGTAAGAATGTCTTGGCGATTTGGCATGTTCTATAGGGTTTTTTCTTGCGACCGCTGGCGCCAAACCGACTTAATTGTCTTTTCATTCGTGATTTGGCTTGGTTTGTTTTGCCCACACAGCTGCGAGACGGTTAGTGCTGGGCGTCCTTGAGTTTTGTGCAAATCGTATAGCTATTTAGCACAGGTGTGGCTCGTTTGCCGCTTCAAGTTTTGGTAAGGGCACTCAATGAAAGCAGCCACGTGGAATTTGAGACATGCCGCTCCTGCCCCACCGTACAATCCGTGCAGCCCAGGCCACACGTGACACGAACTCAAGCGATGCACCGCCAGTGGCAGGAAGCTGTACCCTTGACAACGAATACCCTGTCGGCGGTGACCAGGCAGGTTCTCACACGCGGAGAACACCAGCCGCACATGCATCAAGCTCAGCCATGCTGTCGTCGCAGCCTGAAATGTCGGGTGGCGGTGGTGACATGGGTGTGAATACTGCACAGGCAATGCCAGCCAGTTCGAGCAACGACAAAGGAAGCTCCTCCGCAGACACATCAGGCTCATGCACGACATCGCCATTCTTGGCAAATGCTGTCATGGACACCGAAAGCACGCTTGGTGGCGACAAGGACGCAAACAACTCCGATTCCAAGCAGCAAAGTTCAGTCACAGACGCGCCAGCAAGTTCGGGTGCCAACAATGGCAGCTGGAATGCAGCAGAGAAGTCGAGCCCAGCGCCAAGATCAAGCGTGGCGCCGCCACTGCCCGCAACCTCAGGTGGTGACAAGGCAGGTCATGGCCGCTTCAATGTAAACATGATTTCTGGAGGTTTCGACAGTCATGTGGCATTGGATATGACAGTGCTGACGAGCAGATACGTAGGGATTATGATGATGACGTTTCAGGGTCCTGGAGTCATGCCGCAGCCCGCACAGGGGCCCTGACAAGACCTGCTTAGGGAGTAAGCCCTGGGGAGGGAGCGAGGGGGGTTCTGCTCGCCAAGATGCGTGGCCTAGGCGAGAGTTCGGACATAGCTTCGCTAATTCTGCGTTGCGCTTCCACCAGCTACCAAGCCTTCGCTTCAGTGAACAGATGTAGCATGTAGCTGTTGAATTCACCACGAAGCTGTACTCTTTACAAGCTTGACAATTGAGAGAGCTGCATGGTGTTCATGGTTTGTGGCGAGGTGGACCCTGAGCACAATGAGAAGGAGCCTCCTGTGATGTGTTTGAAGTTGCCAGACGGTTTATCGGCAGACGTCTCATCCTTTTTTATTGCGTCGTTTGCTTGCGACACTGTCCAGCCGCATCAGCCATGCCTTAGCCCTGGCTTATCGAAGCTGATGCATGAGCGGCTCCCCGATTTTGTCGACTACTTGCAGAAGTTTGTAAGACACGTTCTGGATCCAATCAGAGCGATGCCTTCATCCGATGCTTCGGGCGACCTGGCCACTCTCAAGCGCCATATTGGTTCTATCAGACGTAAGATGGGACAGGCATCGACACGCATCTTTCAGATTTCCCGATCCCACCATTATTTGCTTCTAGAGGACTTGCTTGGCAACGGGGATTGGTGGGATCTTCATTCTACACTCAGGCACCCTTTCTTCTGGAAGCCTGACGAGTGTGTGGAGTTCATTGGGAAGGTTTGCGATTTACAGCACAACCAGAGAAGTGGACAAGGTTGGTCGGGCTGGAACACGCTTTCCACGTACCTGAACACGAAGTACAAGGATTACATACAGTGCTGCCAGCCCAAAGAGCGTGTGGACATTAAGGACGGCCGCGGCTGGTGGCGCTTCTTTGGGCAGTTTGCACCGGCATGGAAAGCCGTTTTTCCAAAAAAACACTGGCGAACTGACAAGGAAAACGATCGAGAGGACAGCGATTGGAAGACTTTGCTGGAGCTGGTGCGAGATCATCAAGTGCATCAGCCATTCATTCGTGGCGAATACGCAAAGCAATTCGTCGATCTGGTTCCATTCCTAGTATGGGCACTCTGGAGGTACGTCCAAGAGAATAAGGCTGCCTTTCAAAGGCATGGTGTATTGAATGCCCGGTATTTCCCTGGAAGCTAGGGTTCGGTAGCACTTGCCATCTCAGCAGACGGTTGCAAAACCCTAAACCCCTCAACCCTAGACCCCCAAGCAAACCTCGCTGGCCCTATTCGATGGGCGCCGGGGGTACCATTAGCGTTCCGGCCTTGCACGAAGCAGCGAGTGTGCTTTTAAGATTTAGGGTTTAGGGCTTTTGCTGTATGACCGCCTTCAGGGCAAGCAAAAAGGTCTCATCGGGCAACGTCTCTGTCAGGGAGAGCAGCAATCCCGGGCGGCATAATTTTGCACGTCGACATGCATGATCAGTGCAGACATGCTTATGCTCGAGAGGACGCTGGACCATGTTAGAGGTTGTCCTTATTGCGTGTAAGAGCTTACAAGGGAATGAGAGATCTGTCTCAGAGGGTTTGAAGGACCAACCTACTAGATGTATTGTGTGTGCGAAGCCTTCGGTCAGATGTTCATTCTCTTGCGAAATCGCCCCGTGACAGGCCCTGCTCAAGCCAGAAGAACAACCAATCTTTCCGTTGTCTGTTGGAAGCACGATGCTTGGCAAAGTATCGCCATCAGTCTAAGCAGACGTTGTGCTCATCGGCAGCTTGAGGAATTCGCACACGCACAGACAGAAACCCTAAAACCCTAAAACCCTAAAACCCTAAACCCTAAAACCCTAAAACCCTAAAACCCTAAAACCCTAAAACCCTAAAACCCTAAAACCCTAAAACCCTAAAACCCCAAAACCCTAAACCCTAAACCCTAAACCAGCATCAGTACACGGGATGATGACTTTCGTACTGCTGCTTGGTTAGCGCTGCAACTGGATGACCTCGCACAGCTCGTACAAGACGAAGCTCTGCAAGTTCTACGAGCGCGGCTTCTGCGAGCCTTGCAGGGACAGTACAGCAGCCTAACTAATGACCAACATTATCCTTGTATACTTCCTACGTATATGCTATACAGACTGCCCCCCCCCCCCCCCCCCCCTCTCCCACAATAATTGCCAACATTACCCCTTGTAATCCCGGTAATTCTCAGTTACTATAGAACTACCCTTTAAATGATTGCCAATAGTGTCCCCCTTCCAATCCTTATATGATCTAAATATCAACTACCACACCCCCCCTCCCCCCCCTTCAAGGCCTGAAAGCCTCTTTGGTTCTTGGCAGGGAATTCGGATATTGGGCACCTCCATATCCTGGGATTCTGCAGGGACCCGAATTAAAGAAGCTGTTCACCATGACGGCCTGGTCACACGACTACAGCAGGCCAGGAAGCAGAATCAAGTTCAGCTGGGGGAAGGTGTGGTCTCTGGCAGATGTACGGGGCCTCCTGCAGAAAAAAAAAGTGAGAAGCGTCATAAGTGGATGCATCTGGAACCGTTGCATGTTTAGTAGACAGGGTTTAGTAAAATGCGGCCGCGTGCCCCTTCGCAAACACAGCTCGCCCACGCTTTACCAGGGCTTGTTCAACCTGCGCACAGTGCGATACCTCTCGCACACTTGGAGGTTACTTATTAACCAATAATAACTGTACTTCTAACCCACTTATAAGCCCCTTAAGTGCCCCTTATTAACCAATAAGAACTGTACTTATAACCCACTTATACGCCCTTAAGTGCCCATCCAAGCAGGCCCAAGGGGGTAGTGCTCAAAATTAGGGTCCCTTTTGGGGATCCTGTTTTAAAGGGTGCCGCCTTATCAGGGGTACCCAAAAATGGGCCCTAGTTTAAAAAAAAACTGCCCAAGGACAGGGGACGAGATTGCTCTTTTGCCCACGGAGAGGATGAACTCCGGCGGCCGGCGCAGGCTTGGGTTTCATCTTCTCGGGGCTTAGGGCTTAGGGCTTAGGGTTTAGGGTGGAGGGTTTAGGGTTTAGGGTTTAGGGTGGAGGGTAGTTGGACGGCATAGAAAAGTGACTCTTGTTTTGGCGCTGCAACTTTGCAGCCAGACATGGCTATGAGGGGTTGCAATGTTCGCGCCGCCAAAGAGCGCAATGACAGACTTCCCTGAATCCTGGGAGGGTTCTGTGATGTCCTCTTTCATGCAGGTCAGGATTCTGAAGAGCCAATCTTCTGTGCGTATTGCGAAGGAATCTCGCCCTCAGCAATTCAATAATCTTTGAATGCAACAGTCACTGCAAACTCAGCTTGAGCTACGTCTCTGGAATTTCACTGAACAGCAGGAAGCATCCTAAGTCCTACCTCTCCCCGCAGTGGGGGGACCAGCTTAGGGTTGGGGTTCAAGGTTTACCGGCCTGGGAACAGCCAGAAATGCTGCACGTCATAGCATTGAGAGCCAGGAAAAGTGGGCAACCAACACTAGCAAGGAAAACAAGCTGGGGCCAACCGCAGGAAGAAAACTCCCTCCGCCGGGATTTTTTGAACTTGCTAGGGGGGAGACCAATGGAAGATGCGCCCCGGCTGCGGTGATCCCCTCGATGAGCACGAGCAACAGGAGGGCGGGGAGGCGCAGTGCAGCTGCGCAACATGCTGACAAGGGAAGCTTCAAAGGTAAAAAGGGACGCTTCGCATATGATTGGCGTAGGTATGTACCGTACCAAAGGAATGGGTACTTCGTTGGGCGCTTAGCTGATTTGTTGTCACCTTCCTTGGTGTATACTCAGGCCGGAGTAAGGACCGAATCATGCCGGCCAGGGTGCAGCGAATTAGTTTTGCAGGGGTCAAGGGTATGAAGTGTAAAGACAACGTGCCCCCCGAAACCCCAACCCTCAAGCCCTGAAACCCAAAACTGAAAGGCAATGGCACAGGACTCCGCCGGGCATGTGGAGTATAGCGAGTGCTGGCGTGAGGCCGGGTCGAAGGCATGCCTCTGGTTCTTTACTGTGTCATCGGGGTGTTGACAGGTGGCTTAGAGTTGAAGTGGTGGTATGGAGACGTGCCCGCCCAAAGACCACCCGTATACTATTCTAAACGAGCCAAACCAGGTCAACCAAAGTCACGATTTGTCAGCTTCACCGAGTTAAGGTTTTCATGGAAGGTTTTTGCGTCGAAGGGCTTTTTTCACTTTTTCTCATCGAAGATATCGGGTCCAGGATCGTCTGGAAATCTGGCTTACGGTTTCTGTTGAGGTGTTTCCATGCTGAAGGGCCTTTCTCATCGAATTTTTTTCATCTCCTTTTTGGGTCCACAATTGCATCAGAGTAGCACTGCTTAGGGCCCCCAAGCCAGAGCCTCTTCGCCTGAATAGGCCATCAGAGGCTACATCGGTAGTCGTGGCGATCCAAGCGACTACCTCGCCCCTTCGCCTGCAGACGTGGGTTTAGGGGGTATGGCAGCAGGAACGGTCATGTAGAGAGCTTACCCGATGCCGCAGACAAGTCATTCTCAGGTTCTGGACAACAGCAATGAGGCGTGCGAGCCTGATTGTTCCCTTATCATTCCACATGGTTTCATGGGAACCCTGGGCGAATCCTCAACCCTGAACCCTACACCCCAAACTTCAAACCCTAAACAGTAGACCCCAAAGCAGCCAGGTAGTCTTTTGGGACCGGAGCTCCTTTGTGGCATCGCCCGGGATCTTTCCCCTGAGGGTCGTCCGAAAGGCTGGGAGCCGAATGCGTTGTTGAGAGGGTTTGGGGTTTAGGGCTTACGGTGCTTACGGGTGTTTACAGTGTTTACCAGTGTTTACATGGCTTGTCGTGTTTAAGGGGTTTGGGGGATATGGGAAAGCGGTGTTGGACTTCAGGTCTCTTTTTGAGCAGAATAGGGCTTTCAAAGCCTGGGGGCTGCTGGCTCTCGGCGACATTGTGCTTCCCAGACCAGAAGCCCATAAAAAAGCTTGGCAGAGACGTGAGGAGATGTTGGCAAGTCCCCGACCCGTGTTGCCACGCTTCGAGATGTTTCTGACCTTAGGCTGTAGGAATCGAACAGGAAACCCTAAACCCTAAACCCTAAACCCTAAACCCTAAACCCTAAACCCTAAACCCTAAACCTCCCCCTGAACATGAACTCCGACAAAGAAGAGCCGCGCGAGCTGGTTCCCGAGGTGACAAGGAAGGCTGAGCGGGCCCTGGATGGAGCAGAGGAGTTGCGTTCTGTCAGCCTGTTTTCTGTTTCTTCTTGCGCCCGTCTCTTCATGGTGCTGACACGGCTGTAGTGTGCTCAACCACAGTCGCGACATCGGGTTGCTTGACGGACTCAGGCTTCATTGAGGACGCAAGCTCCCGTCCCGGCAAAGGTCTAATAGAAGCACCCAGTTAGCTCCTCCACCGGAACTCATGACCCCAAATGGCAAAACCCTTATCCTCCGCGACAGCACGCAAGCTGGAGGAGCTCACGCGCAAGAGCTTCCAAGCGGAGTATCCCACTCTTCACAGATTTTTTGGGCAGCTTGCGGACATGTCCAGGGCAGAGCTCGAGGAGCGAGACCAGCTGATGACCCATTGGTCAAAGGTCCGAGTGACAGCGCATGTCCAGCAGTATGTGGCAACCCTGGCCATACTCAAGAGCCAGCCTGCTACGTCCGCGACGGCTTCCAGGATATGCATCCCTTTTAACCTTTTTGACGGCGGCTGCACCAAGGACAGGTGCAGATACCGCCACTTGTGCCTGTTCTGTGGCCAGGATTCGGAGGACCGCCACGCGCGATGCCCGGCACGGGATTCTTTCCATGCCGAGCGGAAGGCACTCCGGTCGCGCTTGCATCATGACCCGCTGGATCCGACGGCGCCGGGAATTTGCGGGGACGATGAGAACTTGCTTGCATCGCTCAAGCGTCTTGCAAGGGACCCTCTTGCCAAGACGGTCCAGCACCAAAAGCAGGAAGCGGATCCCGAAACCCCGAGCCCCGCCTTGCCCGCGGCGTTGGGGAGCTTGGTGGCCTTAGGGCCAGCCGAGGAGGCAGGCAGTTCTTTTGCAGTCCCTCACTTTCAGAACGGCTTGCGCCTAGATTTGTCCAGCTTCTCTGAAAGCTTCAGCCATTGTGCCTGTAGCAGTCCAGTCCTAGCATTCAAAAGACTCTATCGCAGATGGCAAGGGGTTGTATAGGGCACCGAATTCCCAAATTCCCTATACGAAGACGAAGAGCCAGTATTGTGAACTGTTGGAAGTCCGAGCTATGCATGCCCATTTTTGTCTTAGGACTGAGTGTTGCTTTTGTGTGCTTCTCTTGAAAGGACCCTTCAGCCAAAGAGATGATTGGAGATGCATCCACTGACGCATGCGACTCCGACGGCAGAAGCGACGCCTTCGCCACTCTTCTTGAGGTGCCCGTGCCGGATCTGCAGGTGGAGTCTTCTTGTGAAAGTTCGCCGCTGGATGAGCTCGATGATTTGGACTGGAGTGTCATTCCGAGACTGAGAGCCAAGTGGCGAGATGCCGTCAGGGGGACCAGATGCTACAGCAGGGTACCAGAAAGTGATCCGCGCTACGTGATCTTGTGGCAATGCCTTCTGGGCAAGTCTGCGGAGAAGAAGGTGTATTTGGGCTTCAACATGCTCACTGGCTTCAGCGTTGCAGTGGCCCTCGCAGGCTTCCCCGTCGAGAAGCTGCGTTCGAAGGTTGCAAGCTGTCCGCTGCGAAAAAACTTTCCTTCACTGCTGACGTACGAGGCTGCCTTTGAAGTGCAAGGCAGAACGGCACCTAGGTAGGCCTTTGGGATGTTTTGTATTGCCCTTGTGGAGCTGAGCAAGACCTTGTTTAGGAAATATCCAACAGAGCCTAGGCTCTAGTCATGGAATGTGTCGACAATGTCCTCGCAGACCTTGTGCCGCTTTGGAAGAAGAGGTTTGGAAACGAGCAGCACGTCTTTTGGATCCAGCACACAGGCTCGCAGGTCCTTCAGGCAGCTTACGAGGTTTCTCAGCTGCCTGTGGATGAGCAGTTGTCTTCGGGTCACTGTGACCTGTGCCCTCGACGGATTCTCATGGATGCCTTGGGCTTTGTCAGGCTGAAAGGTGTGGGCTTCTGTTGGCGCGAAGATCCCGAGCGAAGGCAGCGAAGGGAGGGTGGAAACCATTTTGAGGCACCGGAGGTCTTGGAAGGTTCCAGCCTCTTGCCTAGCTTGCCTTGCAGTCCCTCCAGCTGCAGCAAACGTCTCAGCTTCTCGGCAGGGGAGACGCTGCGAGCCATGCTGCTTTGCAGCGAAAACGTCGAGGATGCTGCAATGGACTTGTTGGACTTCCAGAGGAAGCAACCACATTACGGCCACCTGCTGGTGGACTTGATCAGCAGTCTGACCAAGCAAGAGCCCTGGAAACGGTTGGACCTGCTGGTGGCGAAGAGGCATCCTTTCTTCTGGTCATCCGAGAAGTGCATGGCTTTCATCACGGATGTGGCTGCCACCTTGCAGGATGAAGATGCTGCCGCTCGGATTGAGAAGATGGGTCACTGTGGAAGCCTCTAGGTGCAACAATCCTGTGATATCCCCAATGTATGTTCGGCATGTGCCCAGAGCCACAAATAGAGAGCATTGGACCGCACACCAGGAAGAGAGCTGGTGGTGGGACATCTTCCGGAAGTTGGACCTGGCATGGCAGGAGTGGAAGCACACAGGGGTGTCCCAGGCTCATGTGCGGCCGGAAGGTGAGGGTTGGTGGAGGCTCTTGGAAAGGGACCAGGACAGAATGCGAGCATGTTCTGCAGAGGAACTTGTGGACACCAGCTGGGAAACCCTACTGGACCTTGCAAGGGACCTTTCCAACGTTGACCCTTTTGATGACCTTCTGCACCAAGCCTTCCTAAATCAAGTGCCGTTCCTCACTTCAGCCGTGTGGAAGCATGTGGTGGATTGCCACAGCGATCTCTGGTCTTTCTGATCAAGGCTCCGGAGCCCCGAGACTTGGCGTTTGATTCGGTTATGTGATACACGGGCACGTGGGTGTTGCATATGGCCCTTTGTTGCACCGGTAGGGACCCCCAAAAGGAAACCCAAGCTGGGTAAACCCCTAAAAGGACCCACCAACCGTGACCCCGCATCTTGTCGGAAACCGCCATATGTTTATGTTCAAATAGGGGACCCCCAAAGTAGACCCCAAATGGAAGGATTCCCAGGCTTTGCCTGAAAGTTTACAGTTTCCTTGTCGGAGAGATCAACAGTCTCTGGGGTGAGCAACATTACCAGATCACGTCGAGAGCGAGTTACGTTACTGCCGTTTTGGTAGTGGTGGTCAGGGCTGTTGGGCCTGGATTCAGGTAGGGGGGGTTAGGGTCCCATGTTAGGGTTTAGGGTTTAGGGTTTAGGGTTTAGAGTCCCATGGCAGCCCATGCAACCTCAGGACCTCCAGCACAGCAGGGACCTCAGAGCCAGCAAGAAAGAGTCACACTGCACGGTCAGGCCTTCATTTTTTGTTGACCAAGGGCTTCGGGTCTAGGGTTAGTTTCAGAAGGCTCAGAAAACCTAAACCTAAACCTAAACCTAAACCTAAACCTAAACCTAAACCTAAACCTAAACCCCAACGAACCCTAAGGCTTGAGCCCGAAATGCTGAAACCCTGCATGCTGAAGCTCTGAACTCTAAACCAGCCTTAGACTACTACTGATTGCTTAAGAACACCCAAAAAATGAAAAAAAAAAACATTCTTCCTTACAAAGGTACTATAGGGATGATTGTTTTTTTGTTTTTTTTTTGGGGTTCTGAAGCAAATAGTAGACTACAAACCCGACCTTAAGATGCTCTGATGTGCTACCCTGAGAGCAGCCCATAGAAGGACGTTTTGGGCTTAGGGTTTGCGGGGTTGGGGACTGCCCCCCCGGGGTCCCAGATCCTCTTAAAGGGAAGGATAGAGGGCCAGACCTGGGAGTCTATTAAGGGAAGCCTTCAGGGGTACAACCTTAAAGGAACGAGCCTCAACCCCTTGAACAAAGAGGATTGAGTTCGACTCGGGCAATTTTCATGCTTTGGGTTAGTAGGATGCTGGTGCCCCAGGTTGCTGTAGGCAGGCTAGGCGCACAGAGGAGCATCGCCAAAGAACGGTGAGCAAGTAGAACCTGCTTTCAGGCAGGACCTTCTCTTGCATCTTGCAGCATCTTTGAACCAGAGCCCGTCTGACCTCCTAGCCTCGTTGCGTTTCTCCGGCTGCGCGACATGCCGAAGAGAAGCAGCATCGACTCGCAGATCTACCAGATCCGGAAGGGACAGAACACCTGCTTCAGGTGTGGACGCCCGGGGCACTACTCGGAGAACTGCCCCCTGAAGGATTGGAGGTGCCCGGACTGCAATCGCAAGACGTGCAAGGGGGACTGCCCCCCACCACCCAAGAAGTGAGACATACAGAGCTCGACTCCGGACAGTTTTGATGTTTTTGGGTGAGTGCCGGATGCTGGTGCTGCAGCTTGCTGCAGGCTAGGTGTACAGAGGCACATCGCCAAAGCACATGGTGTAGAGATGTGTAGTAGGGCGCCGGTCGGAAGCGGCATTCAGCCACCGAGCTGGGCCCGTCTTCGGGATTGACACAGCTGCAGGACTCATGCAGGGCAGCACAGAGCAAAGAACAAGCAATGCAATGTCTTGCGCCGTGCATGAACGGTGTAGTATTGCAGTTCTTGTTTGTGCAGAGCAGGTCCCTTACGTCTTGCCAAAGTGGTGCGGTTCTTCGGTATCTGCTTGGGCTCGAAGCTTTGAGCCCCCGGACTGGCAGCGCCAAGACGCCCCCTGCGCGCAGAGCGAGCGCGCACAGCGAAAGTACCCGAAGCCCTGAGCCTTGAACCCGCAGCCCTACACCCCAGACAAGTGCCCTGCGTGTCTCCTTCGGTAGTTTAGAGCATGCATCTTCGTGCTCCGCATGGCCAGGACCTGAGTGGGTTTCGGGCTTCGGGCCTTGAAACCCCAAACCCCAAGCCCCAAGCCCCAAACCCCAAACCCCCCAAACCCCTCAACCTCAAACCCCAAACCCCAAAACCCCACAACCTCAAACCCCAAAACCCCCCAAACCCTCAACCTCAAACCCCAAACCCTCTAAATCCCAAACCCCAAGCCCTGAACCCCAAACCCAAGACCCGAAACCCTTGACCCTAAACCCTAAACCCTAAACCTTAAACCCTAAACCCTAAACCCTAAACCCTAAACCCTAAACCCCAAACCCAAGACCCTAAAACCCTTGACCCAAAGCCCGACCCCCAATTGACCTGCTAAGGTTCGAATTGATTACTCTGACACGCGGGCTTTTACTCAGAGGATCGAGAAGGAGAAAGCTGCCAAGGCCCGGGCGTTAGGGGCTTTAGGGATTTAGGGTTCTAGGGTTTCAGGGCTTTAGTTCGAGTTTCAGGGATTTAGGGATTTAGTGTTCCAGGGTTTCAGGGTTTTAGGGTTTTGGGGTTTTAGGGTTTTATGGTTTTAGGGTTTTAGGGTTTTGGGGTTTTCGCGGTTTTCGGGGTTTCAGAAGTTTGGGGTTTTAGGGGTTTCGGGGAAGTAGGAGCTTTGGGGTCAAAGGGTTTCAGGGTTTTAGGGTTTAGGGTCCTGTCCTTTGTCTTTTTTCCTCTTTTTGTTTGACTTGGTTTCCTGACGTTCGACGAGGGCAGCTGAACGAAGGCTTGCGGTGGGCCCAGTCTAATTGCACCAGAACATGACCCGCAATGAACCCTGAACCCCAAAACCCTCAAGCCAATGGGGCTCATCAACCCCCCCGAACGGAATTTGTGATCCACTACCCGCCGCTTTCCCGAAAAGTTCTGGAAGTTGCCTTAACCCTAACCCTAAATCCTAAACACTAAACCCCAAACCCTAACCCTGAACCCCAAACCCCAAACCTGAAACCTTAATCCCCAAACCCTCTAAAGCTTGACGGGTCCTTCCATTTGTTCCAAAGGGGTTAGGGTTTAGGGTTGAGGGTTTAGGGTTTATTTTTTAGGGCAAGCCTTTTGGGGTCTAGGCTTCTTTTCTCAGCACGGAAATGTCCCGGTGGCAGGCCTTGTGTGCCAGAAAGAGCGGTGAGACAGTGGGGCTCACTGCCCTGTCCTTGGTGGATCGTTTCACTGAACCCTAAACCCTAAACCCGAGACCCAAACCATAAACCCTAAACCCTCAACCCTAAACTCTGAACCCTGAACCCTGAACGCTAAACCCTAAACCCTAAACACTGAGGGGCCTGGCTTGTTATGCAAGTGAGCTCACAGCAAGCACTACTCAAGGGACTAAAGGAGGGACCCTTATATGTGCCAGTATAGCCCCCCCCCCTCCTCCAGTGGTATCACCCTCTCTTCCCCTGTAGTTCAACCCTCCCCTTGTTTAGGGTTTAGGGTTCAGGGTTTAGGGTTTAGGGTTCAGGGTTTAGGGGGGTGGGATACCATGGGGGGCGGTTCGATTACACGGAACGGCGGCGCATGTAAGGGACCTTATAAGTGCTATTTGGGCGGGTTTTGGGGTTTAGGGCTCTAGCATCACAGTGTCTACTGAGGTCAGGAACGGTTCTGGCAAAAATCTGGCATTTGAAGTTCGGTCCGGAAACCCTAAGCCCCAAACCATCCCAAACCCCAACCCCCAAACCCCAAACCCCAAACCCCAAACCCTTGCAACTCTTGTATTTCTGGGGGTGGGGGGGGGGTTGGGGAGTCATCGCTTCAGGGTTCGGGGTAGAGGGCATTGGGGTTTGGTGTTTGGTTTGTTGGGGGGGGGGGGTGTTGGTGTTCGGTGAGGTGGGGGGAGTGGGGGTTGGTGTTCGGTGGGGTGGGGGGGGGGGGGTGGTGGGGGGGTTTGTGGGTTTCGGTGTTTGTCTTTGAGTCCCTCAGCTCGTACTTTTTGATCTTGGGAGCATGTTCGAGGAACAGAAGGACTCCAGGAACGCTTTCAAGGGCAGTACGGCCCTGAACGCTGTAGGGTTACTGCCGGCCAGGATCAGCCGGAGCGCTGGGTTCGGCAGACGATGAGGCCGCTGCCGGCCGAAGCGGAGGCGAACCTCCTGTGATGGCGAAAGGTGGAGGGTTCCCAAAAGATCTAAGGGTAGGTATATGGGCCCTTAATCCCCTTTAAAGGGTTCTGAAGTATGTAGGCGGTAAATAAGGGGTGTACAAGGGGTCCCCTTTTTAAGGGCCCATACTAAGGGACCTTGAAACTGCCCTCAGAAAAGAGCTCAAGACTCTTTAATTGAGGAATGTTCCTTTTGTCATACTTCGAATCCCTGTATAGTTTCGGAGTTTAGGGGTTTCTGGGTTTCTCCCTGAATCTGGGGGCCAGGATCTAAGGATTTACCTTTTGAGCCTCCGCGAAGGACAAAGGGGACCTTTGGTCTGAGGGTGAGGGTGGGTAGTAGGGGATTCCATGAGCATACGGCGCCTAAACTTAGGGCTTTAGGATTTGAGGAAGGTTCCTTGATGAAGCTATTTTGGAAGACCTGGGCCCTAGACACACCCTAAGGCCCGTATCCCGTAGGGACTCAAGCTTTCGAGCTCCTTGGGCTCTGAGCCCGCCAGTTCGACGAATCTTCTTCCGTAAAATGCTGGATCCGAGTATCAACTTGTGGATGTTATCCGGTAGAATCGCAACTCAAGCAAACAGAGCAGGGCACGTGAACAAGCGCGTGCAGAAGCACACGCAAGCAACCGAGCATTGAAGCAGGACCACGACCAAAACCCCCTAAAGCCCCTAAACCTGCCCAAAGCCCCCAAAATCCACCAAAACCGCCCTAAAGCCCTAAACCCCCAAAACCCTCCCAAACCCCCCTTCCCCTCCCAAAGCCCCCAGAAGGCCCCTGACACGCCCCTAAAACCCTGTAAGGCCCCTCAAGCTTCCCAACTTCCCAAGTCTCTGAAGGAATCCAAAAGCTAAACCCAAAACCCTCAACACTCAACCCTCAACCCTCAACCCTCAACCCCAAACCCTAAACCCCAAACCCTAAACCCCAAGCCCTAAGCCCTAAGCCCAAAGTACACGTGCCCTAAAGCTCTGTCTTTTTCAGGCACCTGAGGAGCCGGAAGAGGGCTCGGCGATGCCTCCCTCAACGCCCATGGGCCCAGAAGGCGCTGAAGTGGGCTTCCAGGCTTTGGGCTGTAGGGTTGAGGGTTTAGGGTTTAGGGTTTCGGGTTTAGGGTTTGGGGTTAAACCCTGAATCCCAAAAACTTATCAGAAAACCCGAAAGATATAGTTAAAAAAACGAGGGCTGTTCTTTAGTCGATGGCTGCTGCCCTGATTAAAATTCCTGTAGAATGCAACTGCAATTCGATTGTGTTAAACCTTGCAAGAAACCGAAAAAGCAACCCACCCCCCCGGCCCCACCCACCACCGAAACACACGAACACCCTTAAAACCTAAACCCTAAAATCTAGCCCTAAACCCTAAACCCTAAACCCTAAACCCTAAACCCTAAACCCTAAACCCTAAACCCTAAACCCTAAACCCTAAACCCTAAACCCTAAACCCTAAACCCTAAACCCTAAACCCTAAACCCTAAACCCTAAACCCTCAACCCTCAACCCTAAACCCTTAAACCCTAAACCCTAAGCCCTAAACCCCTAACCCCTAAACCCTAAACCCTAAACCCTAAACCCTACACCCTAAACCCTAAACCCTAAACCCTCAAGCCCCTCAAGCCCCTGCAGCCCCTGAAAGCGGAAGCCTTGGCTTCCAGGCCTCATGGAAGCGTGGCTTGCCCTTTCGCCAGAGCAGCGTGAGGCGAGGGACGCGAGGTGTTAGGGCTGTTTTTTTTGGATGGAGGAACTTGTGTTTAGGGTTTAGGGTTTAGGGTTTAGGGTTGAGGGTTTAGGGTTGGGATTTTGCCCTTCTTCTAACAGCCCTTGACAGGGATAAGAGTACCCCAAATACAATCCCTATAAGGACTGTTAGTATCACGGGGAACATTCCAAGTTTAGGGTTTAGGGTTTCGGGTTGTTGCAATGGGGGATCAGGCTTTTATGAATTTCAGGGTTTGGGGGTTGAGGGTTCAGGGTTCTTTTTTGGGCGAGTTGTAGGGCTCTAGGGCTTAGGGGCTTCAAGGCTTTGGGGCTACAGTGGTCGAGGGTACATGGGTGGTGGGGGGGTTTCATACTAGGGGGCGGGTTCAATTACGAAGGAAGCCCAAGAACAGAGCAGGTATGTAGTCGGACGTTGCTCCAGAGTCCTTCTAGTCTGACTAGTTGTCTTCTTGCCATGATTTCGGGCCCACGTCCACGCCCTAAGCCCTAAACCCCAAACCCTCTCCTAGATACGTATGTATATGAATAAGCAAATAAATACATATATATATGTATATACAAGCCCGTTCGTGGGTATAGGCAGGCCGGTTCGTGGGCACAGGCACGCCGGTTCGTTGCATAAAAGCACAAGGTTCGTGGGCATAGGCACAAAGGTTCGTGGGCATGGACACTCAAGGACTCTTCTCTGAATGTTATGGGGTTCTTTGGGGGCGTGGGTATATCCCCCTCGCGTGAAAAGCTGCTTGACAAGTGAAAGCTAGAACATGAGATGCTGCACCATAACCCCCAAACCCCAAACCTCAAACAACCCCAAGCCCCAAACGCCACACCCCAAACCCCAAACCCAAAACCCAAAACCCCAAACCCCAAACCCCAAACCCCTAAACCCTAAAGACCCCCCCCATCGTTCCGAGCCTCTGGCAATGACCTTGCTGTGCCCTCCAGGGTCTTAGGCTTGAAGGGTCCTGGCCTTATAAACCCCGTATACGAGCCTCCTATAAGGGCCCGCTATCTTGTCCTTCGATATGCCTTATGTGCTCCCTTAATGTGAGCCTTATAAAAGGGCCCTACCTCCGGGAACTCGCCTCCCCGAAGCCCTTCCTGAGAGAATGTGAGAGAATTCATGGACTGCTGCCACGCTGGCTGCCAGCACAGCCGAAGACACAGGAGCCGTGATGCAATCGACATGTTCGGAAGCCGTGGGCTTAGGGCTTAGGGCTTTAAAGGTGTTTTGCCAAAACAGCGCGATTCCAAAGCCATGGCACAAGTGGCCGAAGCCGTGAGTGTCTCGACACGAAGGCTTGCATGACTTACCCTAAACCCTAAACCCTAAACCTTAAACCCTAAACCCTAAAGGTGGGCTCCAATCGTTCAAATCTGGGTACCAATTTGGAAGAAAACTTTCTTGACTTCACCCCTTGCTGAGTTGTGGAGACCTGGCTGTACATCGTGTTCGGGATGTTTCATCGGCATGCGCAGAAAATGCTCAGTGCGCCCTGTCCATCATTCTCGCAACATCCCCAGCGGCATGGTTTTTGCCTTCCCTGCGTTGTCTACCCTCGCCGAGTGTAAATTTGTTTCTTGCGCCAACTGCTTACATGGATTGTTTGCTGTAACGTTTGCTGTTTCTCGGTTTCCCGCGACGACTTACTTGGAGGTTCATGGGATTTCATAGGTATTTAGAAGTAGGGTTACAAGTATGGTATCTATACTTGCAGCACTGTTTAGGACGCTTCTAGCCCTACGAACACCTACCCATGAACCTGAAAAGTAGGGTCTGAGGACGTAGGGTTTTGGGGAGCAAAACCTCAGATCCCAAGCCCTTTACCCTAAACCCTAAACCCTAAACCCCAAACCCCAAACCCCAAACCCCAAACCCCAAACCCCAAACCCTAAACTCCAAACCCGAAACCCTAAACCCTAAACCCTAAACCCTCAAGACTAGACCCTAGACTCTAGACCCTTAACCCTGCCTAGCCCCCTAAAAGACCCCAAACACCTCAATTGAAGCCCCTGGGAATCTAAACCCTAAACCCTAAACCCTAAACCCTAAACCCTAAACCCTAAACCCTAAACCCTAAACCCTAAACCCTAAACCCTAAACCCTAAACCCTAAACCCTAAACCCTAAACCCTAAACCCTAAACCCTAAACCCTAAACTCTAACCCCTAAACCCTAAACCCTAAACCCTAAACCCTAAACCCTAAACCCTAAACCCTAAACCCTAAACCCTAAACCCTAAACCCTAAACCCTAAACCCTAAACCCTAAACCCTAAACCCTAAACCCTAAACCCTAAACCCTAAACCCTAAACCCTAAACCCTAAACCCTAGACCCTAAACCCTAAACCCTGAACCCCAGACACCCCAAGCCCTCGAGCCCAGGAATGATGACCCGGCCCGCCAAGAGTTTTGCCGCGCTGTCCCGCTGCGTGTCGAACCCCCAGGCTGCCAAGAGCGCGGAGGTGTTCGCCGAAGTGCGAGACTCTTGGTTTAGGGTTTAGGGTTTAGGGTTTAGGGTTTAGGGTTTGGGGTTTGGGGTTTAGGGGTTGCGGGTTTAGAGTTTCGGGTTCAAACTTGGAGGTTCATATAGCTACCTAGAAGTAGGGGTTATAAGTTGCCATATGTAGGATAAGAAGTAGAGTGACCATACTTCTAACCCAACGTTTACTCAAGTCAAGGGAGTTCTACTCGGACCCCTGGGGACGTACCCCTAAAAGGTTTCCCTTAACAACGCCCAATGTGGCCCTCATTTTACCTTAGGTATCTTTAAAACGGTCCCCGTTCCAAGGCACAACCCTTAGATTTACCACGTTTTACAGCCCAACTTATAACTACACATGAACCTCCAAGTGTAATGCAGTAGGCTGGGCCCAAAGCCACTGGAAGCCCTGTAACAAACACCAGAAGCCCTGTAAAAGTGCCGTAAATTCCTACATATCCTGGGCCTAAAACCCAGACTCCAAAAACCAAGCGCTTAGAACCCAAGAAGTTACCTATATATCCCCAAACACAAAACCCCCCAAACCCTTGCAAACCCCTAAAGCCCCTTCAATGGGTGCCCAGCTCAGGAACGTCTTTTCCAGGCCTACGCGCAGCGAACGCCGACGGCTGTGAGGGCGCTGGCCGCTCACTTGCAATCCGAGCTTCGGGTTTAGGGATTTTTAGGGTGTAGCTTTTCCGAACCGAAGCACCTCTGAGGCCCAAAACTCAGAAAGGACCCGTCCCTCCCCCCTCGAATTCCCCCCCCCCCCCCCATCGATTCCTTCCCTGCTTCCCTCATGTTGTTCTGGGTTTAGGGTTTAGGGGTTTAGGGGTTTAGGGGTTTAGGGGTTTAGGGGTTTCGGGGTTTCGGGGTTTCGGGGTTTAGGGGTTTAGGGGTCAAGGGTTCAGGGGTTTGGGGGTTTAGGGTTTAGGCCTCCCGTGGTTTGTGGGTGGGTTCGGATTCAGGACTTAGGGTTCGCAGTTTAGGGTTTAGGGTTTAGGGTTGAGGGTCCCTCTCCCCCGTGTGGTTCATGGTGGGTTCTGGGTTAACGGTCAGGGTTTCTAGGGGGGTACCATGCGAAAAAAATCGTCGAGAACGCGGAGCAAGGGTGCATTCAGAAATCTCCAAACCCTGAGAGAAATTTCGAGCAACCAAATACCCCTAAGCCCTAAGCCCTCAACTCTAAACCCTAAACCCTGAACCCTGAACCCTAAACCCTAAACCCTAAACCCTAAACCCTAAACCCTAAACCCTAAACCCGAAACCCTTAACCCTAAACCCTACACCCTACACCCTCAACCCTCAACCCTACCGAGGAACGGCTCTCTTCGAGAGGCGGCAGCATCCACAACGATCACATGGCGCTGCGGTCCTTCATGGACTCAAAGGGCCGGCAAGGGGGGTTTCAGAGTTTAGGGTTTAGGGTTTAGGGTTCAGGGTTTAGGGGCTCCGTGGGTTTAAACCCTAAACCCCAAAACCCAAACCCTAAACCCTAAGCCCTACCCTTAAATCCTAAATCCTAAGCCCTAAACCCGAAACCCTAAACTAGGCCCCAAAGCCTGGCAAAGCCTGCTGGACTTTTGCTCAGGGCTTAGTAGGGCTTGGTAGGGCTTAGTGGGGCTTAGTGGGGCTTAGTAGGACTTAGCACGGCTGAAGGGTTTATGTTTGAGTTGTGGGGCATGCGATGGCATGCAATGTAGGGTATTAAAAACATGCCGTTTGTGCTTTTCGGGAGTATCGCACTCTTCCTCCAAAGCAGCGCACCCAAGACGTGGTTCAGCGTTCAACGAGGGCGGTCCTCGGACCCCAAAACCCGAACCCTAAGCCAAACCCTGAGCCCTCAAAGCAATCAAGCCTAGATAGGGATAGTTGCTTCTGGTTTAGGGCTTTAGGGTCTAGGGCATATGTTGTGTAGATATTTATATAATGCATGCATGCATGCATGCATGCATGCATGCATGCATGCATGTATGTATGTATGTATGTATGTATGTATGTATGTATGTATGTATGTATGTATGTATGTATGTATGTATGTATGTATGTATGTATGTATGTATGTATGTATGTATGTATGTAGTATGTATGTATGTATGTATGTATGTATGTATGTATGTATGTATGTATGTATGTATGTATGTATGTATGTATGTATGTATGTATGTATGTATGTATGTATGTATGTATGTATGTATGTATGTATGTATGTATGTGTATATATATATATACATATACGTACATATTATATGAGAGAGGGGGACTTTTAGGGCCTATTTGGTATTCCATTTTCTTTAAAGTTCACGGAAAATAAGCGTACTGATAATAACAGCAATAAAAGCAAGAAGAATAATTTGGGAGCGCCTGCCACCTCGACGGAGCCGGTGTCCTTCAAGCTTGACAGCCGGTTTCTGGAGCCACGATTACTTTACCCTCGCAAGCTTGTACAGGACTCAGCCGCACATGTATATAAATACAAATATAAATATAAATAAATAA